TTTGGTGCCCGAGCACTACTAAAATATGCAAAAACCCTTTTCCAAAAGTCAGCGGTTTCGATTTTCATTTCTTCACAGTATATATAGAGTGACGCAAAATATACATATTTCATATGTATGTTGGTATTGCGTCACTTGGGGGACTGCCGTCCCCCGTGATGACGAACAATTCTCGAACGAAATAAAATGTAATAAGTAACAATAAAGAGCAAAAAATAAAAATGAAAATCTTACACTTCCAATCATATCAGAAACTATATCTCCTGGTTGTTTTGTCTGAAGCGCCTGGGCTGTTGTTGTTGTTGTCATAGCAGCCAACAATGATAGTGGACCAGTTGGTTGCTTTCAATCAAATAATATAAATAAAATTTTATTTTTGTTACGAAAATTTCAAAAACATTTTCTCAATCATTATTACCTCACGCGTTGTTGAGATTCGTGGAAGAGGTTTTACTTCGATAATTGAGGGTTGGTATGTGGATTCTTCTTCTTCTATGATACTCTCTTGTTTATTGAGATTTTTCAGGCCGGGTCCATCAAACCGTTGGCTAAAAAATTCCGTATCACTTATTGATTCCTGTGTTGTAAGATGCCGTTTCTTTCCTTTGTTCGAGGTTATTTGACTTGTCATTTTATTGTCGTCTAAGGTAGCATCTTCATCACTATGATAACCACTTCCAATTGTTTCCAATTCTTCGTCATGTTTACCCATCAAACCATTGTCTAAAGACTCATGATCTTCAATTTCGTCTAGCTTATCAAGATTTTCCTATACAGATAAGCAATGAAAAAAATTAATAAAAAATAAACATATTTATAATGTAACAAGAGAGCGTCTAGTTAGATAATGAATTGTAGTACATCTTCTTGATAGTGTTGATCATCCTGCAATTGCTTTTGATGTTCAAGATTGGCAGCCTCCTCACGTTCTTCTTCCAGATACTTGTATTCATCTTCTTCATTAAAATAATCTTCCTGATAGCTATAATACGGCGTTTGATATTGATTATTATAATTATCATTATAGCCGGTTTTTAATCCCTGATTTTGAATGACGTCATCTTCGAAGTCTTCTCTGTACACTTCATACTTCGGATTGTGGTCCTTCAAAATGAAAAAAAAAAATCAAATTTCAGTTGACTTATATGGATTTTTTTGCAAATACGATATTGCGGTTGAATACAATATAATATGAATATGTTACCAGTTGATTTTGGTTGAATACAATATTTTCACTGGTGTCGTTATACAAACGGTCGTTATACATATGATCCCTTAAATAGTTGTTATTACCAATCGTATTAACTTCATCGTCGTGATGCGGTGTGTCGATTAAATCGTAAGCGGTACTATCACAATAAAGATTCGTCTTATGACTAGTCAGCGTATTTTGCGAGACTGGTATATCGAGTTGATCAGTGAAAGTGTCAATTTGATTGTTGTCAACTAAAATCTGATTGTTTAGAATATTTGTACCATCGTCTGCGAAACTATTCGTGTAATGCGTATTCAAGGTAGGTGTTACTGTTGATGTTGTGATTATGTCACCGGTAGCTATGTAATCATTTTCAGTAAAATCATCGTACATGTATTTACTATCGTTTGTATTATAATCAACAGCATTGCTCGTAACAACTTGATCCATTTCGTCATCTTCGACTTGGTATGTCGTTTGTTGTGATGTGATTGGAGATTTCGTAATTTTGTCATTTTGCTTTTGCATAAACGATAATGACGATGGCTGAAATGGAATCAAGAAATTTAAACGGTTAATATATGAAAATAAATGTACACTTGATCATTTGTATTATTTACAGTGTGTCCATAATATATAGAAATAGCACTAAATAGTGTCGATAACTATACTATATCGGTCCACTATATATGGAAGATATTGCCGCACGGCACCGTATCGCACGATCGAAGTGAGTGTAGACGGGATAAATCACAAGTTGCCGTGCGGCAGTAGAAGGAACTGTGTGTATGCGTCAACATTTTTGCCGTCCGCACTCACTTCGATTGTGAGTTACGGTGTCTTGCGGAATAGTATAGATATCGACACTATTTAGTGCTATTTCTATATGTTATGGACACACTGGTTATTTAAAAAACTCCAAGAATTGTTCATTTTGCACCGAAGATATTTCTTTCCATAAAAAATGGAATTAAATTGATCGTCGAATGTAAATTTACATGAATTAGCGCATACGCCCATATGAAACCTCAACGCTATGCGCATCAAATCGACGTTATTC